AAGATTTTATTTATTTATTTGAGAGAGAGCACATGAGAGGGGGGAGGGTCAGACTCCCTGCCGAGCAGGGAGCCCGATGCGGGACTCCATGCGGGACTCGATGCGGGACTCGATGCGGGACTCGATGCGGGACTCGATGCGGGACTCGATCCAGGGACTCGATCCAGGGACTCCAGGATCATGACCTGAGCCGAAGGCAGTTGCTTAACCAACTGAGCCACCCAGGCGCCCCTCTTCATTAGCTTATTAAGAGACATTAACCTGTATGCTACTGGCTTGTGAACTACTACTGTTATAAATTAGAGTCCCTACAGGGAACCTGTGCTATATAAACTATTGGCAAAGACAAATCTCAGTTTCTGGGCATAATTTGCTGGAGCGAAACAAGAGTGAGTTTCAGAGATTAACAAAGGAAGTCACATAGCTAGTAAATGATTTTTGGTTCTTTTAGACATACAGTAAAATACTCCCCACGCTCTTGTTGGTGGACAGCCCTCCGAGTTTTAACACCTGCACTGACTCTTCTAAGTACCAACACTAACAGGATACGGAACAATTACAACACTCCACAAATTTGTCTCAGGCTACCGTTTTGTGAATCTGGTTTCAGGCCAACCCCTGCCCTCAAGTCAGTCTCGGGCGCTACTCCAGGCCACACTCCCTCTCATCATAGAAGACTTAAAACCCAATGGCTGTACTAGGTTACAAAGCTTTTTTCGGACGTTTGATGTGGACTTCTTCTCCGACCCGCTCCTGAGCCGGGGACCAGAACTTCGGAGGCAAAGAACTACTCAACACTCCCTTCCGCCACTTCCGGCGCCTCTGCGCACGCGGAGCGCCCTTCTCTTCCTCTCTCTCTGTCTCTCCCCCCTCCCCTCCGGGTGCCCCCCCGCCTCCTCACCGCCTCCTGCCCCGCCCCCTCACCGCCTCCTGCCCCGCCCCTGGCTCTGAGTGATCGCTGGCGTCGCCGCCGCTTCAGTCTGTGCAAGCTCGCGTCAGCTGCTTCAGGGCCCCCTGCACCCGCCTCCGCCCTGCACCACCTGAGCCATGCCTCTGGCCACCTCACAGTCTGGGCCTCTGCGCCGGGTGTTCGTGGTGGGGGTTGGAATGACCAAGGTAAACAGAGCCGCGGACCCCCAGAGGCGGGCTCCCAGTTCGGCTCTGTCCGGGAGAGGCCGGGGAGTGGGGGAGCACGGAGGTGACCGGGAAACGGGAGCCCAGGTCAGGGCCAGGTGCTGTGCGGTGGTTTGTCCTTCCTACGGGGTGGGGGTCCCGGGCATCCCACTGCTCAGCTCCGGCGTCTTGGCTCTTGGCGACTCGGAGGGGTTGCAGTTTAGGGTTGTCTCTGAAGTGTACTGTCCGGGGGTTACTCCTGCGGCCATTGCTTTCCCGTTCCTCCTTCCCTTTTCTCACTGGATCAGAGTTGGTGACGGACGCCCCAATAAAGTCCACACTTTGATTCTGAGTGGAACCCCAAGGTATGTGGACCTTTGATGAGGCAACATCCTCCTTACACTGGAAAGGAAAGCTGGTGGGGACTGTCCCCAGCTCTACACACCCAGGAATACTCCCCTGTAGGATCCCTTTACAGTTAGAAGTGAGGATGAGGAGGAGAAACATTAGTGATCTTCAGTGTCTTGGCACAAGTGGCAGGTGTTCTAGATCCTCTGACCTCCTTTCTGTTCCTCAAATGGTACTCTGCTTGGTTTTTAGGAAGCCAGGGTCCCCCAGTCTCATTTCTTGTCACCCTCACCACTCCCACGTTCTAGTAATGCCAAACTGCTGTTAGTTTCACCCCACACTGTTTTATGCCTCTCCTGCTTTGCTTCTCTTGTTCTCACTACTTGTACTTGGTTGACTTCTTTGCGTTTTTAAAAGACCAGTTCATTTTCTCCAAGAAGTCTCTTGATCCTCCTGACTTTCGCACAGAGCCCTGTACTTACCTTTGCTTCAGTGCTGATATCCCCCACTTTTGGAAAGTTCAAGTTCTACCACGTGACTTTCACAAAAGGCGTAGATTACTACCTATTTTTGTTAACTGAAATTTGAAGAGGATTTTTGCTTTTAGAAAAAGGCAAAAAGTGAAAATAGCATCCAGCATTTGCTCTGCAGGGAGGTGTTACTGAGGCAGTGAGCACCCCAAGCAGCTGCCAGAGTGGGACTGCCGAGCTCCTTCCCTGAAAATACACTCAGCATCTCAGCATTACGCTGCCATAGCTTTGAACTGTGTCTGTGAGCATCTGTGCTTTATCTTATTTTGTGCATTCATTATCAAGATGTGTCCTAAGGTATCAGAAAAGCCTAAGAGGTTATGTTCTGGGGTCCAAGAACACTCAAAAAATTTTCCAGATAAGTTAATGGTAATTGCTTCTTCACGTTATGCCATTTCAGTTTATGAAAGTTTTCGGAGGAACACAATATTTTTGATAGCAGGGGAAACCCGTACGTACTATGTTATACTGAAGTTCTCTGTTTATATGTTCATATTCTTCCTTAGTATGTAAGCTCCTCCAAGGTGAGTACCATGTCTAATTCGTTGCTGTATCTCTAACACCTTGAAAATGCCTGGTGCCTGAAGATCCTAATGAGTATTAGTTAGTACTAAATGGATATACTTTGTGAAAGAGACTTTCTAAGGGAAAGTTCTCTTTCTGAGAAAACAGCCTTAAAATTTTTATTATCTTACCAAATGGGGTGAGAGTACATACTTTGATCAAAACATGTGAGTAGAAAAGTCAACTAATCATTATAAAGCAGATACTTGGAGTTCATCCTATTGTTTCATGGGAGAGGGGACTTCTAATATAGGTGGACAGTAGAAGCTTTTTAAGTATGACATTCATGCAGTCAGGTCCTCCATTGGCTGTTGAATATCTGATTATATTGGCTGTATAGAAAAGCACAGAACTTTCTAACCCTTTGGGAAATAGTTTGTTTTCTTTTTCCAAGTTAGGAGGTGGAGGTGTGGGCAGTATTAGTTACAGTATTGAGGGAAGAGATTGGGAGTGTTAAGAACAGCTTTATTAATGTACTTATTCCAGTTCCTTCTAGGTTAGATATTTTGGAACTTGGGGCAGGGTTTGATGTAGAGGGAGAAACTTACTAGATAATACTTTAAGCTCTATTAGTAAATCTCTAATGGTTGGGTTCCTGTGTTATGGTTCTTAATTTGAATAGCTGAGTTCCCGATACAACTTGAAGTTCCTTAATAAGGTTTTATTTTCAGTGTAGGAAATAAGTTAGAATTTCTATGGTGGATGTCAACAGGTTTTAATACAACTAAATCACCACTACTACCAGGCTGACAGCAGACCAAGTCCCTTTGCTTATGCTGCCTACCTTCTGATATGCCCTTTTTTCATAGATTTTCGTTCTACCTATTTCAAGAAATGATCTGACTTCATCTGTTTCGGCTGCAATATAACAGCAATACAAACAGAGTGGATAGCTTAAAAAACAAATATTTATTTCTCACAGTTCTGGAAGCTGGAAAGTCTGAGGTCAAGACACTGGCAGATTCAGTGTCTTGTGAGGTCTTGCTTTCTGGAGCATGGGCAGCTGTGTTCTTGCTGTATCCTCATAGGCAGAAGGGGTGAGGTCTCTCTCTGGGGTCTCTTTTATAAGTGTATTAATACCATTTGTAAAGGCTCCATCATTATGACCTCCCAAAGGCCCCACCTCAATCATTCAATCACATTAGGGATTAGATTTCAATATATGAATTTTAGGAGGACACAGACATTCAGTCTTTGTAGCAGAGTCCAAGTCCTATATTTTTTTATTTCTATTTCTTCATATTGCTCTAAGTTATTCTGGTTACCTTTTTTTAAAATTCTGGTGCCCTTGTAGTTAGGACCAAATAATTAAGCACTTAATTTTTCTAATAATTTTATGTGAGATAATTTCATGACCCACAGAAGAAATACACCTTACATTACAACCTCATACACACACACACACTCACACACACACACAACTGAAACAAGTTTGCTAAAGCAACACTTATTTGGGGAAGCTCTAGGTCAAATGTTATAGGTTCTTAAATAGATATATTGAGAGGAAAACAAAGTAGTGGAGGAGGACCTGTAGATTAAAAAAGAATTAAAAGACCCATAAAATTTTCATAAATGGGCAAGACTAAACTGTAGTGTCTATAGATATATACTTGGATGATAAAATTATGAAATATTACAAGAAAGTGATTAATGTAGGAGTGAGGATAGTAACTACTATGGGGGTGGAGTAGAGACTGAGATCGAGAAAGAGTGCTTAGAGGAGTTTCTGCAGTAGAAGGCCAAGTTCAGTTTTTTGTGTGGGTGGTGGTATCAAAGATAAGGAATGGTACACACTAGGTAGGGATTACGTTACATTAGGTAATTAGGAAAGTTTTCATCAGTAATATATTATTGGGAATAGAGGGAAAAGTCCAGTGTGAACTCAGCTGAATTTTGATTTATACAGAGGTGACTGGGTGTTTTAAAGGGAAAATGAGGGAATAGGGAGTGAGCTGGGGCGCAGTAGTGTCAGGGAAGTAAAAACTTATAAAAAGTGGGAAGAGGGGCTAGGTCCATGTGAAAGCCATCTGGGTTTGCTAACTGGCATTTATCCAAACTTAGGCTCCTACTTTGCCACAGGGAGTTGGAAACAGGGACCTTATCTTCTGGTGTTTGTGGGAACAAATAGTAACTTGTTTTTGGTAGCCTTAAGGCACTTTAAGTAGGGCTAGGGTCATCCTAGGAATGTGGACTTGAGCTATTAGAAACTGTGTTAGTGTTTAAGTCTTTATAGGCCAAGGCGGAGGCTTAGCTCTCAGAGAAGCCTGGCTAGAGTAGAAGGGGAGAAGAGAATCTTTGTCAGTGGTGGCAAGAGTGTTTGCCTTACAATAATTCATTAAGATAATATATATATTTACTTTTATTATTTAAATAAAAACTTTAAACAAAGCTAAAACTTTATTTTTATTTTTTGAAGTTTCATTTATTTGTTTATTTACTTATCTATTTATTTATTGGTGCAAAATGGTTGTTTTATTAAAGCACGGGGACAAGAACCGTGGGCAGAAAGAGCTGATGCCTAATTTATTTATTTTTATTTATTTATTTATTTTTAGATTTTATTTACTCATTTGAGAGAGAGAGAGACAGAGACAGACAGTGGATGAGCAGGGGGAGGGGCAGAGGGAGAGGGAGAGGGGAAGCTGAGCTGGGAGCCGGATGCAGGGCTCAATCCTAGGACCCTAGGAAGGGCTTAATCCCAGGACCGTGAGATCATGACCTGAGCTGAAGTCAGATGCTTAACCAACTGAGCCACCCAGGCAGCCTTAAAACTTTTATTATTATTATTATTATTTTAAAAGATTTTATTTATTTATTTGACAGAGAGAGAGAGAGAGACAGCAAGAGAGGGAACACAAGC